GGGGACGGCAGCAGCTACTTACAAGTCGCTTGTGAAACGCTCACAGGAAAGTGCAAGACTAGACTGCAGGAAGCTGTGACGTTCTCCTTGTCTGGGTGTCATGGCTGCAAGCCGTGACCCCAGCGGCACTCGGTGACAAATAAGCAAAGCGTTTGTGGTTGACGCTGCGGAACATCACTCACCAGCTGCTGGGGGACTACAAATCCCTGCCTGTGTCAAAATGTGCTGAGATTTTTAACTCCACTGTTGCTGTAAAGTCTTGCTGCTTAAGCTTGTTTATATAGGTGAGATATTAGAAAGTATCTGAAGCCAAAACGTTTTGGTGGCTTGTCCTCTTGGGGAGATTTACAGGACTTCCTGTCCCTGAGACCTAACAGGAAGTAAATTAGAAGTCTGTTGAAGGTGAATACAATAATCTGTTAGTCATCAGGACAGCTGTTCCCATTGAAAGATGTCCCTTTTTATTTATTATTATAATACAGGATGTATATAGTGCCAGCAGTTTGCCCAGCACTTCTACAATATAAGGTAGACATTACAATCACAAGACACGATGGTAAGGAGGGTCCTGCCCCTGAGGGCTGTTCTGGTTGGATATGTGTCGTTTAGCAGAGATCCTGTTTAAGTGTCCGGTTGTCCCGGTCTGTGGCCTCCAGCTTATTGTTCTTCAGGATTTATATAGCGCCAGCAGTGTGCTCAGCACTTTACAATATAAAGAAGACATTACAGGTACAATACAAATCTAGATCAGATGGTAAGGAGGGCCCTGCCTGTGACGGCTTCCAATCTGAAAGGTCCTGCAAAGTACTGATTGGGTAACCTACAGAAACCTATCTAGAGAGCGACTACCGGTGCCAGCATGCCTTATCCACAATTGTATCTTGTAGTCCCTCTGAAGGACCGGAAGTGACCTCTAAGCCTTATTCACTATCGTTTTGTGAATAGGGGGCTATTTGTTATGTTTCCTTTCAACCGGTAATGATTTAGAACTCCCTCCGATGCCAGTCCTTGTCCTTTTGTGTCCGAGAGAGATAAGAAGTCAACTAAATGTATCTGTATGTATACGTACCATGTACATGCTACCTTTGCGACAAATAATTTATTTTAAAAAAAAAGTCAACTAAAAAAACAGAGCCGTAGTGCACTGGATTGTGTGGAAGGTTTTATTTAAAGCCTTATTATTATTATTTTTGCGTTGTCCTTCAATCTGTAACCGTCCCTCGCAGTACCTCTTCACCGCCACAAGATGTCCTCAGTGTTCCAAGTGGTGCCCGGCGTGTTGAGCAACATTAAAGACTGAGGGCATGCTGTGGGAACAGGGTGTCATGGGTCTGCCCCCGAGAGTGTTTTACTACAGCATCCTGCCAACACTGTGTAATGACGCAGAGAGCAGCAATTGTCATTACATCAGTTCTGCTTTCTGCATCATTGAGGACCACCCAGCTCTGAGAAGAGGATGAGCGTTCAGAGATTCAATGGTTACTGGTCTCCAGGCATTTCCATCTTGCTGTTTCCATTTACATATCCCTGAACACTCCTCAGGCTGGCTAGAAGAGAGAGAGAGTACTGCTTCCTTCTGTGGTTTTGTGGTGATATAGCTTAACTTATGTGATGGTTGAATTTTGTAACCTTTTTCTCCCTGGACTGAAGGGTTTTGCTTCCACAATTGCTGGAAGCTCCATTAGTCGTAACTCATCTCCCACTTTTGTGTGTTCAAGGTTAAAGATGACGGTCCTTTAGAGGAGCCTAAAGCGAGAGCCGCGGTGGTGGCTCGCCCCGGCCTGCGCTATGGAGGACGGCCAGAACAATAAGGTGAACCCGGCGCATGTCCTGTTTGATCGCTTTGTCCAGGCCAGCACCTGCAAGGGGACGTTAAAGAGTTTTCAGGAACTATGCGACCACCTGGAGCTGAAACCACGGGACTACCGCTCCTTCTACCCCAAACTCAAATCCAAACTGAACTACTGGAAGGCCAAAGCCCTGTGGTCGAAACTGGACAAGCGGGGGTCCCACAAGGATTATAAGAAGGGCAAAGCCTGCAGCAACACCAAGGTAAGCGGGGGTAGCATAATGGGAAGTTCTAATGTATTTCCAGTCACTTCACTTTCACTTCAACATTTGCCTGAACGTGACCTTTCACACGACCTGTCAAATAATATTCTTTCTTCTGTATTTTGGTTATTGCTATTTATACACAGATTTCTAAAGCTCCCTCTAGTGGTCATCTATGTATATACAAGCTTTTCATAGATACAAGGTTAAAAACTGGGTTTGATACATTTTGTAAATCATATCAAATCATATGTCTAGGCCAAACATTTTTGTTGTTTTTTTGGCTAGAGTTAGATGTATTGGAGCCCCTGCCAGATTTTTATCACTGAAACAGAACAAAAATAAACTGTATGGCTTTATGGACACTATAAACAAAGTGCACCCATACCTTTTTGTCCCCCCCTAACCCTGGACCTGAACAATCCCTCCCTCTCCCTCCACAGAGCCATACCTTCTCAGATCCAACAGACACGGTTACCATACTGTTTACATCCAGCACCATAGTGCTCCCTCTGCTGGCCTCCCCTGCACATTACAGCCCCTTACACTTGTATGGTTTTGTCTTCCAGCCAGGAGAGGGACACTTGCAACGCTGAATGTCCACAAACAGCACAGCCGCAGCAGCACTCCGTAAGTGGGAGGGGTGCAGAAAGGATAAGTTCACTTATTCTTTAAGTGTGCCTGTTGCTTGACCAGCCCTTTGTCGGCTGAAGTAATAATCTTCCAATCCATTAAGCTTGGATACGTCAAAGTCCAACTCTAGCCAGTATGTTTTCTCCTTGTGTGCACAGCATTGAGTTTAGTTATTTTGTCTCAGCCTCCTGACCAGAACTGTCTGTCTGTGTTGTTGACATCTTTCATGCAGAAAAACATTCATATGAATTATTAATTGCCTCTGCAGTGTCTGATTATCGGCGCAGGGCCATGCGGTCTGCGTACTGCGATCGAGCTCTGCTTCCTCGGGGCCAAGGTGGTGGTCATAGAGAAGAGGGATGCTTTTTCAAGGAACAACGTCCTTCATTTGTGGCCCTTCACCATCCATGACCTACGGAGCCTGGGGGCCAAGAAATTCCACGGCAAGTTCTGCGCCGGGGCCATTGATCACATAAGTGAGTATTGTGAACTCTGTCCTAACATCGCAGCTAGATCCGTATCTAAAATGGTCAGGCCTGATTTGGCCTGGGCTCCCTCTGCATGTACGTGCGTGCATGTTTTAAAGTGGAAATTTAAGTCATAATTAATTTTACAACATGAATAGAACATCAAGGGACAAAGTAATATAAAAAGGCACAATACAAAATCCACACCAAAATCATGTGACCCTCACCCCAATTCCTGGTTTGTTGCAGACAGCTGAAAGCTGTTGCATGGCCCCGTGTGATGACCTCATCCTTGCACATTCCAGTAACCAGTGGAAAGATGACATGTCTGCCCTCACTGCCAAGCTTTGTACTTCTCCCCATCCCTGCCAGCGACACCTAATTTATTGCTGTGTAATTTATTACAATCTGCTTCCCCTGGAAGATCTAATCTCCCTGCAGCGTTTCCTTTTCTCCTGGTTCCGTTGACTCTGTCCATCCCCCACCCGTATATGTCACACGAACAGATGACTCGTATTTTTATTACAATTACTGGGCAGATAAAAGTAATCAGCCTGATGGGGTTCCGTCTGCCTAAGGGATTTTACATCATGATCATTTGAGGCCAGTCTGAGCAACTGTCCATCTAAATTCCAAGTGTGTTAAACATGTTGTAAAGACCCTTGTACAGATGTTTGATATCTGCTCTTTATCACCCATTTAAAGTAGAATAAATCATCTGATCCGTTAGATGGTGACCAGATCTGTTGGAAAAGGGTTGGAACCCCCTGTTGGGTTTAATGTCTTTGTCCCTGCAGGGGGACATTTAACCCTTTTGTGTGTCCTAGTGCCCATTGTCACTGGTACAGAATGTGGTGGGCTGTCACAGAACAGGAATAGAAGGGAACTCTTCTAATGGGGACACTTGTTCCGGTGACACTTAAAGGGTTATTAAACCCTCCGGTGTTTTTGCATACATCTATTGCTAGCAAGCAGTGGATATATGCAAAAAGTGTAAACGAAAAAAAAAACCCCCGCTTTAAACTTACCTGTGTCTTCCCCGCGCGGTCCCGTCCGAAAATGTGAAAATTCTCCGGCGGCCGCAAAGCATCTTGGGGCGGGCGCATGCGCAGTTCACATTTTCGGCCGGGAAACGAGGAGAGACACAAGGTAACTATATGGACGCGTTCACCCGCATGCAGACACCGTGGGGCAGGAAGTGCCAGCAAGGACAGAGGAGTCAGTGATGGATCGGAGACGCGCAGCAGCGTTGGAGGGACAGATGAAAACGAGAGGAAAGAAGATCAGATATCAAGATAAGAGACATCATTTAAGGTAATTGCTTTAATTAACATTGTTGGGAGGGGGAAAAAATATTTTGACTTTAATGTCACTTTAAAAGCCATTTAGCCTCACTTTAAAAAGATTCTCTCACTTCTTGTTGTGTTTTCATGACCGGAAGTGAAGGAAAATCTCTTGCAAAAAACCCCCACAGGGGTGCTAAACCTTCCCTACTCTATCTAGGGAGTGTGTGTGTGTGGGGGGGGGGGCGCATCAAGGTGCTATACATAGCTTCCTATAAACAATCCATTACCCTGCCTCAGTACTCCTCTCAAGAGCCCTCAGTCCTGATGTAAGCAGTGGTCTGGCTCTTGAAAGGAGTCATGCAAATATCACAATTCCTTGATGGGTGGATGCGAGTCTGGAGGAGTGGGTGTTCATAGGCAGGCTGTATCTGATGCTGAATCTCTGATGGAAAGAACAGAAATCCAATGAATGAAAGGGGCTGGCATGGGACAGTCCAACTGGGGAGGAAAGAGCTAAATAATGCTGGACTTCCTCCAGCCAGAAAATTAGGCAGGCTTTATCCGACTTTTTTAATGTAATACACATTGCGGGAAGGTAACAGTGTGCAGTGAAATCAGAGGAAGCAATTTCAGTCCAGGAGAGAAGGTGGTACAGCCGTGCAAGACTGCAGGGAAGGCCGGAGTTCCTATCTAAGTGGCTCAAGGGTTTGTTTCTGAATAAAAACATGGCAAAGGTTCTAACCCTCCTCCAATTCTGCAAAGTGTGGATGAAGGTCCATTTTGATGTATGTAAAAATGTGAGATATGGCCCTCTGTGATTAGGAGCCATTTATATTCTAGCCTGGTGTTGCTTTTGGCTGATTTGTAAGTAAAACGCACAGCGGTAGACTTCATGACCAGCTTGTTTTGGGTCACAAGTTTCCTTCGCTGCGCAGGTTAAACTGTCATCTGTTAACTTTCTCCTCTGAACCTTTTAAAGGGCTCTGTGTGGAATCTGCCAAAAGTCAGAAACCTTCCATGAGGGTAAAAAGCCAAATGTAACTGTTAATCTTTAAAAAGAAAACATCTGAAAGGGAAACACGTTTGTTGTCAGTAAAAGAAACCTGCCTCCCACCTCTTACATCGGAGACTGTATTGCTGCTCATATACTGTAATTGCTGGCAATAAGCAGTGTGGATGGGGGAAACCCAGAGTAGTCTTAGATGGACATGTAGCTTTAAATGGATCTGAAGTTGCAGACAAACTAAAGCCCAACTCCAGCTGACATTTTTCATGCAGGTACTGAAACAAGTTGTTGCTGATCTTTGTAAGCACCAACTTGGTAAGGTGTCCCAACCCCTGTAGCCGGGGCTGTAGCTCCCATGGGGCGAGTGAGGCACTCGCCTCAGGCGCAGCTGAGAGGGGGCGCAGCCAGGACCAACTTGGCTCCGCCCACTCGCCCCTGTTGCCATGGTGAGCAGCTTCTCCTCCGATCCCTGATGCTCTCTCCCACCTGTATGGGCACAGGACTTTGTGTCCTCAATGTCTTTTTTTTTCTATTTCAAAGGGAAATGTCAGGGGTCTGTTGAGATCCCTGATATTTCCCCAAAGCCCCCCC